TGTCCCCCGGGAAACAACAGTTCACTGGCGGCCGCGATGAAACGTTCCGCTATTTAAACCGGAATGTCCGGTATTCAAAAAATTCATATCATAACAAAATAAAAACCGGTATTTGGTACAAAACGGCATGCCGCCCAGCACTAAAATTTGGTGTAAAAAATGGCTTTATAAATTCTATTAAATTTGTGTACTGGTGTTTAGTGAATGCACTAAAAAAAGCTAATTGAAATGGATGTTGCAGTCAACCTTAGCAAACAACAATGGCTATAACTAATGCAGTTTCACAGTCCTTTTGCTACTTTCTGGTGTAGTAGCTGTGAGTCATCCCTAGAACATTGTCTGAGTGCCATCATGTCTAGCAAGAACTCACAAAATCACCATTTAGATAATTTGACCAAAGCAGCTACGTATTCTCAGTGAAGAACTGTGGCTTGAAAGGTGGCGGGTGACATACAGTCATTCAAGTTAATGTATTTGGAAAACAGTATCCGATTCACACTGCAACTTCTTGTCAGGGGTTTATAGACTACGTTAGTTTCAACTGGTCTGACTGGTCCCATTTACAGTAAAACCAGACAGCCTTTAAAGGGGGTCATGCTAGTTGTCCCATGAAACAAGCTTATAAAATAATGTGCCATTTTAAAAGCTTCTTGTTGGTTTATAGGTCAGAGGATGTTTCAGAGTTGCAGCCGTCAACAGAAATTCTGCTGATCTTGTTGAAATACTCCATTCTGACAAGTTAGTCATCAGTCTTGCAACAGTTCTTTGTGTTTTAAAACCATTTTTAAAACGAGCAAAATTGCATTTTTCTACTGAAATTGCAGTGCGAACACTAAATGCAGAATAACTTGATAAAAATTCCTTAAAAAGCATAAACTGAGTTGGTAAAATAAAAGAAAAAACATTAGCTAAAGGCTAAAACAAGCAGAACATTAACTAAAAGCTATCCAAACACTAGCTAATAAAAGTGGCATAAGAAAAAAAATTGTGCAGATATGTTGAAGTAAAATTCTATGAAATATGTTATGTAGTACTTAGTAATTGTAAATTGTGACTTTAGGTAATGGTGTAAGATTTTGCTTCATTCTCTTTAAATGTATTCATTGTAAAAGTGTTTTGTGTGTGTGCGCGCGCGCGTGTGTGTGTGTGTGTGTGTGTGTGTGTGTGTGTGTGTGTGTGTGTGTGTGTGTGTGTGTGTGAATTCAACACTGTGACATTCACTGTGACTGTGTAACAGTCATGGTCTGTACCCAAGACTAATTTCCTTCGGGAGAATAACGTTAATCTTACAGTATATCCTCTCTTATTTTGATAAAACCAAGTCGATCTCAAAGTACTTTCCAGTGTAAAAAATTTGTAATTTAAGATAAGCACTTTTAAAATGATTAAAACTGTTAAACACAAAAGTCAAAGCATCAATCACTTGAATGAGCTGAACAATTTAATATATAAATGCATAAATTAGGAAAAAAGTATTCAGACTACAAAAACTGTAAAGAACACTACAGACTCAGCTTTGTCTAATGCAACTCAGACTTTATCTTAGCTAATGGATTCTTAACAATTGTTATATCCAGTTAAATCTTGCTAATGTGTCAATTAAACAAGTAAACCTGCTATAAAAACCTCAGGACCTTTCTGACCTATGAAGCTGTTCTAATTGCAACACTTTTACTGTGCTGCTTGAGTGTTAGTCAATCCAATGACTGTTTGTAATGACTGTCCTGATGCATCTCAGTAATCCAGTTAGAAAAAAATCAAAAAGAAAAAATCAGTAGGTCCTCTGGATGGGTTCTTCTTTTGTGAAACATTTCGTCTCACGTCCAAGAGACTTCTTCAGTCTGATGAAATTCAGGTGAACTCAGCCTTAAGAGCACTGCCTCCACATGGACAAACATGTTAGTCACATGCAAAAGAGGGCCATCACTTAACAATAGGCTTGATTAGCTCTATTGTTCATAGAGGGTCATGTGTCCCATCACCTGACTTATTGGTTTGGATGCTGTGGTTCTTAGGTGTTGTGTCATGTGTATGTAGTGAATGCAGGCGGGGCTCAAAGTCCCTTTATTTATTTTTTCCACATTGATGGAGTAAACACCAGTTGCACATTCAGGTGGTCATAAAATCAGACCAGCTGATCATCAAAGCTGTTCATCTTTTAATTTAACTGGGAATGGATCATTTCAGCTAAATATCGAACAGAAAGAAGCGCAGCTCGGAACGCTGTTGTACCCGGAGCTGTTTAACATGAAGAGAAGCTACTAGCTTGTTAGCTTCCTAGCCCGCTGGCCACGTTGTCGGCTCTCCGCTTCGAGGTGCTCAGTAACCCGAAAAACATCTAGAATCGCGTATGGAATCGGCAAATGAAAATACATTAGCATTGACAAGCAAGTCTTACCTTCGCCATTATGAGATATCTTGTCCCACCATGTAACAGTAGTACCCTGTCCTGTCCCGGGTCAACTCATCCAGCAACAAAAAAACTGATAAGCATCCAGGCTTTTATATGCTTTTAAGTCAGCTCCAGTGTAGGGGGGAACACCATTTATGACATAGTGGTATAAGTCATGTGGCGTGAATTCAGGCAAAGTTTGCGTTTTGATCAAATCAACAAACACAAAGTCCAGAGGGAGAAGATAAGGGTCGATTTCTAAGCTAGCTATGTCCAACTTCTGTAAATAATGCTGTCTGTGAGCCCCAGCTAGGTGTGCGACTTCCACAGATAAATTATCTAAACTTAAACAAGT